ACACACACACACACACACACACGGCTGGGCAGTGCCTCCACCCCGGCTGTTTTATCAGCCAAGGAGCCTCAGGCATACAGAGGAGGTGAGGAAATCTCCCGGTGATGGAGCGACGCCCGTGACCTAGATCCGGTCCTTTCGCATCTGGGTCGTGGTCCGACCCGTGCTGAGGGCCCCGGCCAGCGAGCTGGCTCTGCCTTCCTCTGCAGAACCGTCTGGAGGTACTGCAGGCGGCTGACACCTCGCCCTGAGCACTTTGGTGCGTGTCTTCTGAAAAAGAGCCATTGGCCCGCAGCGCAGCACGTGGCCCAGCCAGGAGGGCTAACAGGGTGCCCCTGAGTCTGACACCCTGTTGTTCCGTGGCCGGGTCCGGAGTTGTTTGTGGAACTTTTCCCTTTTGAAATATCGACAGCATGGGATTGTGAGCGTCCGGTTCCCCCTCCCCTCGCCCCTCTCCCCAGAGCATGTGCGGGACCCCTTTTCGTTCATTTGGGGAACCCTGTGGTGACTGTCCTAGCTCCACGTGGCTGACCAGGGCATTCGGTCAGGCAGCGGCTGGTGTCAGCCCCGGGAGGGCTGGCCTTCGGGCCCTGGCCTGACCCCGTGGGGAAGCCAGGCTGCCCGGGGGAGGTGGCACCCAGCTCTGTCAGAGCACAGCCTGGCTCAGGGGCTGGCACACACAGCTCCAGAGGGGGTGTCTGAGCGTAGCTGGCGGGGTAGGGAGACGGAAGGACAGCGCAGATCCAGTGCTGTGGTCCTGAGTGTCGGTGGCCCTGGTTATGACTCGAGGAGGCCTGGGACAGCCGCTGCAGCTCCCCAAGGCGGTGTGCGCAGGGAGACATCACCCTCCCAGCCGCCCTGACAGCCCCCCAAGTACAGTCTGGTTAGTGTTGGGCCGCGTTTCTTCTCCGCCCACCTGGGCCGGCAACAGGGCGGCTTAGCAGGGGCCTTACCCACCAGTGATGGAGTGATAGGTAGGTTGGAGGCGTCCAAACCTGTTAACTAATGCCATGGGGTTGGCTCCGCACAGCTCCTGGAGCCGCCTGCGTGGAGCCAACCCCATGGCATTAGTTCATTAGGGGAGTTTTGTTTATTTATTTATTTATTTTTAAAGATACTTTTATTGATTCCAGAGAGGAAGGGAGAGGGAGAGAGAGAGAAACATCAATGATGAGAGAGAATCATGGACCGGCTGCCTCCTGCATGCCCCCCACTGGGGATCAAGCCAGCAACCCAGGCCTGTGCTCTGACCGGGAATAGAACCGTGACCTCCTGGTTCATACGTCGACCTCAACCACCGAGCCCACGCTGGCCGGACGTTCTGGGCGTGCTAGTGGGTGGTCGGGCTGCAGGCAGCCAGGCAGCAGGGTGGCTGTGGGAACCGCACCTGCCAAGGCCCGGGGGCTGTGATGTGCCCTTGAAGGCAGCGGTTCTCAACCTGTGGGTTGCGACCCCTTTGGCAGTCGAACGACCCTTTCACAGGGGTCGCCTAAGACCATCCTGCAGATCAGATATTTACATGACGATTCATAACAGTAGCAACATGACAGTGATGAAGTAGCAACGAGAATAATTTTGTGGTTGGGTCACAACGTGAGGAACCGTATTTAAAGGGCCAGGAGGTTGAGAACCGCTGCTCTAAGGCGTCTCACTTCAAGAGGAAAGTGGCCTGGACGGAGCGGAAAGGTTGGCAGAGACAGCACCAAGTCCCAGGTGTTGCTTCTAGGCAAGTGGGGGTGGGGGGGCGCACAGGTAAAGGGGAGCGCTCCCTTTACCCCAAATACACACGGTTCATGCACATGGGATGCTTTCCTAAAATGTTAGCAAAAAGGTGGAGGCCCAGATGCCCTGCCTGAGAGGCCCTGGCCGCCCCTCACCCCGCCCACCACTCCATCAGCGGGGGTATGGCCCCTGCTAAGGCCCCTGTCGCACGCCCAGGGGGCAGGAGAAGATCCAGGAGAAGACCCCGGAGGCCCAGGCCACACCGTCCCAGGACGAGCGTGTGCAGGAGCTGCAGCGCCGGATCGAGGAGGTGGCCGAGCGCCGCAGGCTGGGGGCCCAGCCCACG